ATCGAGTACTCTAACACCCCTACCGAGGCAGCTTGGGACACAGAGCCGGGACTGGTCAGTTCCTCGTGGCCGGAGGATGGACACGTTGTCCTGGAGAACTACCAGACCCGCTACAGAGCCAGCCTTGACCTTGTGCTAAGGGGCGTGTCCTGTGACATCCGGGGCGGGGAGAAGGTCGGCATTGTTGGCCGCACGGGTGCGGGGAAATCCTCGCTTACCATGGCCTTGTTCCGGCTCATCGAGGCGGCCAGCGGCCGGATATGTCTGAGCGGACAACACATCGCTCCGCTCGGACTACACGACGTCCGCGGGAAACTGACCATCCTGCCACAAGATCCGGTCATCTTCGGCGGGACTCTCGGCATGAACCTTGACCCCTTGGGCGAGAAGAGTGCGGTGGAGCTGTGGGAGGCTCTGGAACATTCTCACCTCAAGACCTTTGTCCAGTCGCTGCCGGACAAGCTTGACCACGAGTGCGGTGAGGGCGGGAAGAACCTGAGCATGGGACAACGGCAGTTGGTGTGCCTGGCCAGGGCTTTGTTGAGACAGAGTCGGGTGTTGGTCCTGGACGAGGCAACAGCCGGCGTGGACATGGAGACAGACGAACTCATCCAGAAGACAATCCGTCGCGAGTTCCGAGCCTGCACCGTGCTCACCATAGCCCACAGGCTCAACACTGTCCTCGACTACGACCGGATCATGGTGCTGGACAGTGGTCACATCAAAGAGATGGACTCGCCGCGGAATCTGCTGGCCGACAAGAACTCGGCGTTTTACAGTATGGCCAGAGACGCTAAGCTGGTATGAAGGAGACAGGGAGATAGATAGAGGGAAAGAGAGAGAAAGAGAGAGAGAGAGAGAGAGAGAGAGAGAGAGAGAGAGAGAGAGAGAGAGGAGGGAGGGAGAGGGAGAGAGGGAGAGAGTATTACAGTATGTCTAGAGCGCCAAACTGGTGTGAAAGAGACAGGTTGACAGTGGTCAAGTTACAGAGTTTCACAGAATGTCAAAAGACGTCTTGTTAATGTGTGTGGTTATTTCAAAAAGATTTACGTAGAATAATATTACGTCTAAGTCTAAGGACTGTTTGTGTATGTGTGTGAGTGCGTATGTGTGTATATATA